CCCCTAAACAAAGACAGGAGGAAAACAACGTAATTAACATCAATCAGAGACATATATATAGTGGTGCAGCGGGTAGTACAACACCTGGAAGACACACATGTGCTGCGACGGTGAACAACTTCAAAAGAAAGACACCAAGATCACCAATGGGATATGATCAGGGAAAATACAAAAGATGTCTGTTCCCAGACCCAAGTAGAACTCCAACTCAGGCGCCAATTCGCCAGCAATAAGTACTTTCTCATTACAACCAACTCCAGTAATTGAATTTTTGAAACAAGTCATAGAAAAAACAGCGTGCTCACAGTAGATAAAGCAATGAGTTATAGAAGAATGCCAGAAAGCCACACAAAACAGTGTAGGACATGATCAAGCTGCAGAAGTTACATACTACATGGAGGATACACCCGCTCAAATTGAAGAATCGTTAAATAATCAAAGCCAGTATGAGAATAATACAATGGAATAGCAGGAGTGTTCTTAGTAACTACTCCGAGCTGAACACTCTAATTAACAAAGAAAACCCAGACATTGTGCTCTTAAATGAAACTTGGTTAAAGGAGGATAAAACCTTTACCATGAAAAACTACATTATAGTAAGACAAGACAGAGCCGATGGAAAAGGAGAAATAGTATGATAAAATCGCATATTATTCCATTTAAAAAGGTCAAAATAAACAACAATTTCAATCAAAGATTCCAAGCCATGGGAATAAGAGTCAACGAACTACTAATTATCAATGCATACAACCCCCCGGAAGTACAAATAACTATAAACAACATACTTCAAGTACTGAATGGGGTCAGCGCTCCATTCCTCATGATGGCAGATTTGAATGCACAACATAGCGCATGGGGATCGGAAATAAATAATTACAATAGAAGACAACTCTTTGAAATTGTAAATGACTTGAACTTAATAATAATGAATGATGGTACTAGGACCAGAAACACTCCTCCTCATCAAAATAAAAGCTGCCCGGATATCACAATAACATCAGCAGACATAGGGCCTAGATGCAGCTAGAATGTGATAGAAGACCCTGGATCTAGTGATCATTTTTCCACTAGATGCCAAATAAACATAAGTAGCAATCAAAATGAAATGGCGCTCAACAAAGCAAGAAACAGATTCATTCAGTTTGATAGGAAAAAAGAAATTATTAACTATCAACAGCTGGTGGAGGAAATCACTAGAGCAGGTGATGCTGCTATACCTATCACTAGTGGAAATGATGATAAAAAAAAGACGAGTTCCCAAACCAAAGTGGTGGGATGATGAATGCGATGGAATGGTGAAGAGTAGACAAATGGCAATGAAACAATACAAGGATAACATGACTGGGGTACTTTTTGAATTATAAAAATATAGCAGCTAGAACTAGAAGAATTATGAAAAACAAAACGAAAGAGAAGGTTAAGGAATTCATAGAAACATTAAACAGGGACACCCCAATTGGAACAGTGTGGAGAGTCATGAAAAGATTTGCAAATAATACACGAAATGAAAGATTGAACTCTGACAACGAGGAATGGATGGAAAGCCTAGCCTATTGGATAGTCTAGCACCGCCATATATTACTTGGAAAGAAGTCAAAAGAACAAAACATAGACAACGAGATTTCAAAAGAATAACATGGGAAGAAATAGAGTACAATATTCAATACAAGAAGGACACAGCACCAGGGATGGACAATATTGCCTATTCAATGATCAAAAATGCACCGAATTATATTAAGGAAGCGCTTCTAGGTCTATATAACAAAATAATGGTAGCCGAATTGGGAATACCAACAGAATGGAAAAACCATATAATAATACCAATAAAAAAACCTAACATGGAACCGAATGAACATACAGCTTTTAGACCAATAGCATTGGCCTCATGCCTAGGGAAAATTTTGGAAGGAATCATTTAAAGTAGAATGTAACATTTCCTTGAAAACAAGAATTTCTTTAGTCTGCAACAAAATGGATTCCGAAAAGGGAGAGGAACTACAGAGAACTTGATGATATTGGCGAACAAAATATACACAGCTTTCACACAAAACCAGACAGTGGTATGTGTCTTCATAGATCTCAAGTCAGCTACTAAAGAATTTATATACAATTTACTCGTGGAAAGAAACATATATATAAAGTCCCCGAAATCAGGAAAAATCATAGGTCCACAGGTGGCGCGCATGGGGCTACCACAGGGATCACCTTTGAGTCCCATTTTGTTCAACCTGTATACCAATAAAATACAAGAAGTAGCAGGAACAGAAACAACAATTCTACAATATGCAGATGATTTGGCAATGTTTGTGGCGGACAAAGAAACTGAACGGGCTATGCAAAAAGTGCAAAGTGCAATAATGGCTATTTATGTACCAAGGGGATTATGTAGATTATAATGGCCGAAGCTAGCCCGAGGGCCTCTGGCCCGAGGGATATGTTTCGCCTGAAGGGCATTATAATCTCAAAATCCCCGTGGTGCATACAATGCTTTATTTTCTACTCAACACAATGTTTTTCCAACAATTTATTATTAACAAAATCAGTTAAACTTGTGTGACAGAATATTGTTTTGCATTTTGACATGTACCTGTACCTGTGACATGTACCTGTACCTGTGACCTGTATCTAGAAACGAAATAAATTAATATATCTATATCCTGTTCACAATCCGATGTCCACAGGTGCAGATAAATTTATCGCCTTTCTCTATCAAATAGCATTGAAAGGTGATTTTACCTGTACCTACCTGTGGACATCGGATTGTGAACGGATAATATAAACATCTCGTAAGACAACGGTGGTGGTCGTGTGGGTTAACGCGCTGGACTACATGGGAAACGTTGATGGTAGACCGGGTTCGAATCCTGGCTAGACCGAAAATTATTTTCGGTCAGACATTTAGTGGCTGTCTAGGGTAAAGTGCAAATTAATAAAACAACAACAACAAAAACACCTCAGGGTATTATAAGCGGGCGTTATGGATCAGGTTGTTATAGGTATGTTAACGTATTCCGTTGCCTAGGTATTATGGATCTATAATAGTTAAGTAGAAAATAATAGCTATTTATGTACCAAGGGGATTATGTAGATTTGTAGATTATAATGCCCGAAGGCGAAAATAGCCCGAGGGGCTCTGGCCCGAGGGATATATTTCGCCTGAAGGGCATTATAATCTTAAAATCCCCGTGGTGCGTACAAGGCTTTATTTTCTACTCAACACAATGTTCTTTCATGAATTTATTATTAACAAAATCAGTTAAGCTTGTGTGACAGAATATTGTTTTGTATTTTGACATGTACCATCATCACCAAAAGTAACTGGGACAGCATCACATTAGCTCTTGTCATATTATATGAATTTTATTGTCAAATATCTATAAACATCTCATAAGGCAAGGCAACGGTGGTGGTCCTGTGGGTTAACGCGCTGGACTACATGGAAACATTGATGGTAGACCGGGTTCGAATCCTGGCTAGACCGAAAATTATTTTCGGTCAGACATTTAGTGGCTGCCTAGGGTAAAGTGCAAATTAATAGAACAACAACAACAAAAACACCTTAAGGTATTATAAGCGGGCGTTATAGATCATAACGCCCGCAAAAGCGGGCGTTATGGATCAGGTTGTTATAGGTGTGTTAACGTATTTCGTTTCCTAGGTATTATGGATCTATAATAGTAAAGTAGAAAATAAACAAATTAAACAAATGGCTCAAGGACAATAATTTGGGAATTTCAGTCGGTAAAACTAAGGCAGTGTTATTCTCCAGGGGAAGGAGAAGATACTTAAAATTAAAATTCAAAATCACGAGATAGAGTGGGTCAGTGAATATAAATACCTAGGATTTACACTAGACTATAGGCTATCATGGAACACCCAGATAGATCAGGCTACAAAAAAAGCACAAAGGGGTATAAAAGTTATGAGAGCTTTAACGAGAACATGGTGGGGAGCAGATCCCAACATTCTTCTAAACATTTATAAAGGGTTGGTTAGATCACATCTGCATTATGGCTGCCAGGCTATGTATCACACTAGCAAACTGAATTGGAATAAAATGGACAGAACACAGTTTCAAGCTCTAAGAGTCGTCATGGAATGTATGAAGAGTACGCCGGTATATGCATTACTTTTGAAAACGGCCTAAATGCCACTTAAAATGAGAAGGAGTTGGTTGTGCACAAAGTTTGCCCTCAAGAAAATGGGCATTGGTGGAGATGTGGTAAACAAGAACTTACTGGACTTCTATGCGCTGTACAATCAAGAAATGCAATACTGGAGGAGTAAACAATGTCCATCAATGATGAAGGCGCTGGATTACACACTATCCAACATTGAAACCCTAGAAAAATCATATAACACACCTTGCTTTGAATATGAATATGGAATGCAATTAGCAAAGATAAAATGGACAGATTCCAGGATAGAAAAACATGGACAGGACTCTCAAAAAAGAATGGAGGAAATCCTCAGCAGATTTCCTAAGTTTGAGACAATCTACACAGATGCTTCCCTAGAACCCACTTCAGGCGAATGCGGAGTTAAGATATATAATAAAACAAGAAATATCAAAATAATGGGAAAATGTATGGACAATACCAACATCTGTACGGGGGAAACTCTGGCTATTTACATGGCCCTCAAGTCCTTAAGAGAAGACACTAAAAAGGCTCTAATAATAGCAGACTCCAAGAGTGCAATACAAAAAATAGTTAGGAGTGGAATCGGAAGAGAGTCTGACAAACTCACGTTGAAGACTAGAAAACTAATAATGGAGCTGCGGGAAACTGGAGTGTCAATAGAAATGATATGGATACCGGGGCACTCGGGTATTGCAGGAAACGAGATGGCGGATAGGCTGGCCGTGAGGGGCAGGATCTCAGAGAATTGCATTCTGCAGAATGAGAATGATGAATGATGGCATAATTCCTAATGATAGATGTGAATGTGGTGGGGTGGGAGACATCACTCACGTCCTGCTGAATTGCAGAAAGAGAAGAATGCAAAACGATGAATTGTATGTAAAGCTAGTCAAATACAAGAATGGTCCAATAATGTTAGAAGAAATCTTGGCCGACCCAACTAGCAGAGAAGCAACAAAAATCATGGACTATATTAAGAGGTATAACATTGAAATTCGAAAGGCACACAAAAACTCAAGGAACATATTCATACAAAATCCAAACACATCATCGAACACATCATAAAATGTATGGCATCATCACACATTTTAGTAGATCAGAGAGTTAATTATAGAATGCATGACAGTAGTAAAGTAGTCAACAAATAATAGTAATTTCCCATCTAGGTGTGAATGAAACAACCAAAATAAGATTTTGTTGTCACACCAGGCGTAACCCCACCCAAGCACTGGTAGACACAGTGTGAAATTCCAGCCACAATCCTGAATCTTATTTTTCTATATAAAAAAAAGCTTCAATAAAAACAGGCAAGCAGGATACATACCACAAACCTCGACACATGGGGAATGAACATTCGTACAATGGAAAGTAAGACAATAAGAAGAAATAGATGACTGACTGAATGTTGTTGAGCGACAAGTGGCCATAGTTATTTGGAAAGAAGAAGAAGAAGAAGAAAAAAGAAAAAACGGCATTGGCGACTCATCATTTCGAGAGTGACCATCATTTCGATTTTAGCAATCCGTCAGTGTGTATAAGAGAGGAAAACTGGAAAAGGCGAAAGATTCTGGAAATGTTGAAGACTGTTTTTTTTTTTTTTAAGATAATTCCCTAAGTCAAAAATGTAGTAACTATGTTGGCAACACAAGCAGCTCCTACCCTGAGGAGGCACTCTTTACCCATCTCCCTTCCAGAAAGCCCTCCATTAATCTATTTTCAAAAGGCCCCTACCCTGAGATGGCACTTTTTTATGTCCCTTCACTTTCTTGAAAACTAAAGAATATTTAACCAATTCTTCCATTTGTATTCGTCAATTTTGGGGTTGGCCCGGGTCAAATCCCCAAAATTTCAGATCAAAGGCGTCGCTGATCTAGAAATTTTCCCACGGTATCGAAAAACTTCCCAGGCTCAAGTGCCCCCGGCTGCAAAAAAAATGTGAGGTGGGTATTGGTCATAAACAGGTGCATTAATTTTATTGTAATAGTAACATTTTGCTTGTGAATCTGGTGGACTATTTACGTAGTAGAGGTGGGTATTAGTCTGAAAACCGGGGGCACTTGAGCCTGGGAAGTTTTTCGATACCGTGGGAAAATCTCTAGATCGGCGGCGCCTTTGATCTGAAATTTTGTGGATTTGACCCGGACGAATCCCAAAATTGACGAATACAAATAGGAGAACTGGTTAAATATTTTTTAGTTTTCAAGAAAGTGGAGGGATATAAAAAAGTGCCATCTCAGGGTAGGAGCTTTTTGAAAATAGATTAATGGAGGGCTTCACGGAAGGAGGTTTACAGTGGAGGTGGGTAAAAAATGACTCCTCAGGGTAGGAGCTTCACGGAAAGGGGTTTACAGTGGAGGTGGGTAGTGGTATGATGGCTGTGCTGGAGGGGAGTTTTTACGTGATAGAGATGGGTATTGGTCTGATAGCTCTGAAAACGCTCTACTCACTCGGCCCTTCTAATTTTTGTATTTTTTATATTTTTATATTTTCCTGTTTTTTTTTTTTGTCTTTTTACCATTTTTATCAATGTATTGTGATTTTGTTATGTGCAGTCGAATATTCCATCTTGAAAATCTCGCACTGTTTTATATAATTCTGGCCACATAATTTTTTAAGTACAAGGCATGTAAACTTTAGTTTTTTGTTAGCATTTTTTTGATGTTCCTAATAAATATTTTAGCCCTGATGAAGCCCTAAACTTTTGGGCTCCATCAGGGCCAAAATATTACCTTTTAATTTTCTTGTCCTAACCGACGAATCACCCCCTTCATTAGAAAATTCTTATGTGAACCAACAAACCTATTTGAACAAAGTTCCACTAATCGGCATACTTATGTTGGTCTATTTAAGGAACTAGTTCAATTAAAGCCCCACCTAAAATCTAATATATTTTCTAATTCATATAAAAAGGGTAATTTCCTTGCCCCGTTCTGTGCAATTTATTGAACAATATCGTCCGATCGATCACCTATAACAGTTACCCTTAATCAGTATTTACGAGGGCGAAACTTCCCACCGCCTTAAAACAAAATTACAAATTCAACTCAAGAAATTTTTTTGTACATACATTAAGAACAATAAGATCTAATTACTATAGTTAATATAGTGTCCATAAAAACCCGGTAGTACTAAATCTTGCAGGTGGAACGGCTTGTCCACAAAGCTCAAACTATCTGCGGTCTAGATCAAGAGTTTTCACACTTTGCTACCCATGTGGACGACATAGCATACTGGTAGTATGTAAATTGTTTCCATCTAAAAATGCCGTTTAATCGCTTTATTGCCGTTCCGATGTTTCCATTTAAAATATCCTTTATGTGTTAATTTTTATTTATATCCTATTTGTTCTTCACTGGAAAGCGTAAACTCAACCAACTAGAAAAAAAATTTGATTGTTTCGAATTTAGGTCAATTATTATATGTTTCTTTGTTTCAGATCGATTATCTTCAGTACTGCCAATAACTCTTCAAATCCTAGATACTGGCAAGGTTGCTCTGTTACTCAAAGACTGGCAATATATCGTATGGACGTTGGAAAGGACCTGATGTTTTGAAATAAAAAATAAAATGGTAAGTAAATATGATTTTATTGCAACAATATAAATACAAAGTCATGATACCTTTTTCGCTTTTTCCGGAACGCTAACAATGCCGGGAAAATTATGAAAGGGGGGCGAGTGCGAGAGAGCGGGGCGAGAGGAAACCGAGAAAAAAGCGAAGCGAAATAACTTTTCTTAATTAAATTAAAACCGAGATATTTCAGTCTGCCGGACTTGTATGGCAAAAAGAGGAAAAACGAATTAATTAAAGAAAAACGCTTTGCCCGTCTGAGTTATATATTATAATCGTTAATAACAAAAACTTAATTTATCGATTGGGGGCCTGCTTTATGGCCAAAGTTTATGCGGCGCGTTGAAAGTTTTGGCGAGAGCACTTTAGAACCCAGTCAATGCCTAATGCCCTTTTCAGGACCGGAGTAGCTCAAGCTTTAGTCACTTTCAGTACAAATCATAAGAGACGAATGGCAATCAACTATGCCCAGACTATAAACTAATTTACTTAACTAGACGCATATCCGCTTCGAAACATAGAAGACATTATTTCAAAAGTGTCAAGGTACTAAGTTTTCAGCACTATAAATCTAAAGACTGCATGTCACCAAATTCGAATTCTCGAACATGAAAAACCTTATACAGCGTTTGAGGCGTGCGGCGAACTATATCAATTTACGAGAATTCCTTTTGGTGTTACCAATGAAGTTGCTAGTTTTCAAAGATTTGTTAACAGTATAATCTTCAAGGCACATATGTCTATCTTAATGAGATCACATTAGGTGGTAAGACTCAAGAAGAGCATGACAAAATTCTTCGAAGTTGCTGAAAAGTATAAACTTACTATAAACTCTACTAAATCAAAGTACGGACTTAGAAAAATAAATCTCCTAGGATATGAAATTGAAACTCAACAAATCAAACCTGATTTTGATCGACTTCGTCCATTCTGAGAGTTGCCTCCACCAGGAGATTCCCATTATGCGAAATGGATTCCGAGATTTTCGGATAAAATCAGACCACTCATACAAACTCGTCTCATTTCGCTTTGCTCTTCTAGCTTCCTTGTCCAATTAATCTGCATCACTAGAATATTCGCAGTATTGACCAAACTACACTTGGATGACCATATTCTAATTTTGTTGGGATCCGTTCCTGGTTTTTGTGACCACCTTATTGGCACCCGAAAGAAAAACTTCGCAATCCGAAAATCGCTAATGGAACTACACAAAAATACATTTTACGTTTTTCCGGTTCTGGCCGGACATAAAACAAGACCCCGCAATTTTAAGTGGAATTTATTGGGTGAGGCGTTGCTGCGGATTTACAAACTTTAAATTTTGTTAATTTGTTTTCCCAGGCCTCTCCGGGCGGACGGGCTGCGAAAACATTGTTCTTTTCGACGTAGAAGTTTTTGGCGGCGCGCGATTTTTTTCTTATTTTGCCGCCATCGTATAGACGCGACGTTGGGCGAATTTGCGACCCCAAGTTGAAGGGTGAGAATGTAAACATCCACAATTGAAATTTACAGTGGTTTTTTAATGATAGCACTGTGATTGAATGCTTTAAACTTTATTGATCGTGATTAATATTTGAAATATATATCTGGACATTTCGACAATGTATCGTCTTTCGGTCGTCAATGATTCACAGAAGGGATCTACTTTACACCCTGGCCGATGAATAGTTAATGTAAGAATCAAAGTTTAGAACAAGACAACACAAGCGGCAGCAATCCTCCTAAAGAACGGAGAGATCATAAATATTTCCTTGTGCATTGTAAATAACCCTAAACGTGGCAGACTACAAACTTATAAATTATTTCGTTTCATTTATGCAATATTTAAGGTGCAATTTGAATAGAGTTCGCTCTTCTATGCCAATCCGTTTGGTAAATAATTCAATTGTTTCAGAATGGCCTGAGAAATGGTGCCTTGAATGTATTGTTCAATATTAACATTTCTGTTTAAAGTACTTTGCGCGCAATAGTACAGACGCTAATTTTATATTAAGCTGCTAGTGCTACAAATTTAGCTTTTCTCTTGTTTCGGGGTGTCTTGCAGTCGGGTCTCGACATATTTATTTAATTTTACTTTTACCGGGACGAGTCGCAAAATAACAAGTCCTGTCAAGGGACAGTGACAATTTTTAGTTTCGAAACAACTTGAATTGGTTGGGTTTCTTGTAGAACACGAAATACAGTAATAATATATTGTTCCATTAGCTAATAATATAAAAAATATAAAATGGAAAACATCAGTTTTTATCGTCTCAAGCTCAACCAAACCCAAGGTTTGGAGAGGGGGATCAACGGACACAGCCCTCCACCTGGTTGATGGGCGAGTGGAAAAATCGCTGGACAACAGAGAGTCCGCCCTCAGGGTTTTCATCGACATTGAGATGACGTATGCTCTTCGAATTATAGAAAG